GGAAAGGATAAAAGGATAAATCAGGGAAAAGGGTTAAGTGGAAGAGCAACAAAAGAGGGTCTCAAGTTTTTAAGAGACACCAAAAGAAACTCGCAAACTTCAATGAATGTTGAGAAAGGTTTTGTATGGAATGGATAAAAAGATAAATCAGGAAAAAGGGCAAAGTGGAAGAACAACAAAAGAAGGTCTCAAGTTTTTAAGAGACACCAAAAGAAACTCGCAAACTTCAATGAATGTTGACAAAGGTTTTTTGTGGAATGGATAAAAAGATAAATCAGGAAAAAGGGCAAAGTGGAAGAACAACAAAAGAAGGTCTCAAGTTTTCAAGAGACACCAAAGAAACTCGCTAACTTCAATGAATGTTGAGAAAAGTTTTTTATGGAATGGATAAAAAGATAAATCAGGGAAAAGGGCAAAGTGGAAAAACAGAAAGGGACGGTCTCAAGTTTCGAAAAGACAAGATACCAATGAAAATCACAAGCTTCAAGGAATGTTGAGAAAGAGTTTTTAGAGAATGAATCAGAAAAATCAGCTGAAAGGGCAGAGAGGAAGAACAACAAGAGACGGTTTTAAGTGTCGAAAAGATACCAACAAAATCACAAGCTTCAATGATTGTTAAAAAAGATTTTTTAAGGAATGAATAAAAATAATCAGCAAAAAGAGCAGAGAGGAAGAGCAACAAGAGACGGATTCAAGTGTTGGAGAGACACTAACAAAAATCACAAGCTTCAATGAATGTTGAGAAAGATTTTTTAAGGACTAAATAAAAATAATCAGCGAAAAGGGCAGAGAGGAAGAACAACAAGAGACGGATTCAAGTGTTGAAGAGACACTAACAAAAATCACAAGCTTCAATGAATGTTGAGAAAGATATTTTAAGTAATGAATAAAAAAAATCAGCGAAAAGGGCATAGAGGAAGAACGACAAGGGACGGATTCAAGTGTTGAAGAGACACTAACGAAAATCACAAGCTTCAATGAATGTTGAGAAAGATATTTTAAGGAATGAATAAAAATAATCAGCGAAAAGGGCAGAGAGGAAGAGCAACAAGAGACGGTTTCAAGTGTCGAAGAGACACTAACAAAAATCACAAGCTTCAATGAATGTTGAGAAAGATTTTTAAAGAATAAATAGAAACAAAAATTCAGGGAATTAGGCAGAGAGAAAAAACAACAAGGGACAGTTTCAAGTGTCGAAAAGATAGCATCGAAAATCACAAGTTTCAAGGAATGTTGGGAAAGATTTTTTAGAGAATGAATTAAAAAAGATCAGCTGAAAGGGCAAAGAGGAAGAACAACAAAAAACGGTTTCAAGTGTCGAAGAGACACCAACAAATATCACAAGCTTCAATGAATGTTGAGAAAGATTTTTTAAGGACTAAATAAAAATAATCAGCGAAAAGAGCAGAGAGGAAAAGCAACAAGAGACGGATTCAAGTGTTGAAGAGACACTAACAAAAATCACAAGCTTCAATGAATGTTGAGAAAGATTTTTTAAGAATAAATAGAAACAAAAATTCAGGGAAAAGGGCAGAGAGAAAGAACAACAAGGGACGGTTTCAAGTGTCGAAGAGACACCAAAAAAAATCACAAGCTTCAATGAATGTTAAGAAAGATCTTTTTCAGAATGAATAAAACAAATCAGCGGAAAGGGCAGAGAGGAAGAGCAACAAGAGACGGTTTCAAGTGTCGAAGAGACACCAAAAAAATCACAAGCTTCAATGAATGTTGAGAAAGATCTTTTTCAGAATGAATAAAAAAAATCAGCGGAAAGGGCAGAGAGGAAGAGCAACAAGAGACGGTTTCAATTGTCGAAGAGACACCAAAAAAAATCACAAGCTTCAATGAATGTTGAGAAAGATTTTTTCAGAATGAAAAAAAAAATCAGCGGATAGGGCAGAGAGGAAGAACAACAAGAGACGGTTTCAATTGTCGAAGAGACACCAAAAAAATCACAAGCTTCAATGAATGTTGAGAAAGATTTTTTCAGAATGAATAAAAAAAATCAGCGGAAAGGGCAGAGAGGAAGAACAACAAGAGACGGTTTCAATTGTCGAAGAGACACCAAAAAAAATCACAAGCTTCAATGGATGTTGAGAAAGATTTTTTTCAGAATGAATTAAAAAAATCAGCGGAAAGGGCAGAGAGGAAGAACAACAAGAGACGGATTCAAGTGTTGAAGAGACACTAACAAAAATCGGAAGCTTCAATGAATGTTGAGAAAGATTTGTTCAGAATGAATAAAAAAAATCAGCGGAAAGGGCAAAGAGGAAGAACAACAAAAGACGGTTTCAAGTGTCGAAGAGACACCAACAAATATCACAAGCTTCAATGAATGTTGAGAAAGATTTTTTCAGAATGAATAAAAAAAATCAGCGGAAAGGGCAGAGAGTAAGAACAACAAGAGACGGTTTCAATTGTCGAAGAGACACCAAAAAAAATCACAAGCTTCAATGGATGTTGAGAAAGATTTTTTTCAGAATGAATTAAAAAAATCAGCGGAAAGGGCAGAGAGGAAGAACAACAAGAGACGGATTCAAGTGTTGAAGAGACACTAACAAAAATCGGAAGCTTCAATGAATGTTGAGAAAGATTTTTTAAGGAATGAATAAAAATAATCAGCGAAAAGAGCAGAGAGGAAAAGCAACAAGAGACGGATTCAAGTGTTGAAGAGACACTAACAAAAATCACAAGCTTCAATGAATATTGAGAAAGATTTATTAAAGAATGAATAAAAATAATCAGCGAAAAGAGCAGAGAGGAAAAGCAACAAGAGACGGTTTCAAGTGTCGAAGAGACACTAACAAAAACCACAAGCTTCAATGAATGTTGAGAAAGATTTTTAAAGAATAAATAGAAACAAAAATTCAGGGAAAAGGGCAGAGAGAAAGAACAACAAGGGACGGTTTCAAGTGTCGAAAAGATAGCCACGAAAATCACAAGTTTCAAGGAATGTTAAGAAAGATATTTTAAAGAATGAATAAAAATAATCAGGGAAAAGAGCAGAGAGGAAAAGCAACAAGAGACGGATTCAAGTGTTGAAGAAACACCAACAAAAATCACAAGCTGCAATGAGTGTTGAGAAAGATTTTTTAAAGAATGAATAAAAATAATCAGCGAAAAGAGCAGAGAGGAAAAGCAACAAGAGACGGATTCAAGTGTCGAAGAGACACCAACAAAAATCACAACTTCAAGGAATGTTGAGAAAGAATTTTTAAAGAATGAATAAAATAAAAATCAGCGGGAAGGGCAAAGAGGAAAAACAACAAGAGACGGTTTCAAGTGTCGAAAAGATAGCAACAAAAATCACAAGTTTCAAGGAATGTTGAGAAAGATTTTTTAGAGAATGAAATAAAAAAGATCAGAGGAAAGGGCAAAGAGGAAGAACAACAAAAGACGGTTTCAAGTGTCGAAGAGACACCAACAAAAATCACAAGCTTCAAGGAATGTTGAGAAAGATTTTTTAAAGAATGAATAAAAATAATCAGCGAAAAGGGCAGAGAGGAAGAGCAACAACAGACGGTTTCAAGTGTCGAAGAGACACTAACAAAAATCACAAGCTTCAATGAATGTTGACAAAGATCTTTTTCAGAATGAATAAAAAAAATCAGTGGAAAGGGCAGAGAGGAAGAGCAACAAGAGACGGTTTCAATTGTCGAAGAGACACCAACAAAAATCACAAGCTTCAATGAATGTTGAGAAAGATTTTTTCAGAATGAATAAAAAAAATCAGCGGGAAGGGCAGAGAGAAAGAACAACAAGGGACGGTTTCAAGTGTCGAAAAGACAGCCACGATAATCACAAGTTTCAAGGAATTTTGAGAAAGATTTTTTAGAGAATGAATTAAAAAAGATCAGCGGAAAGGGCAAAGAGGAAGAACAACAAGAGACGGTTTCAAGTGTCAAAGAGACACCAACAAAAATCACAAGCTTCAAGGAATGTTGAGAAAGAATTTTTAAAGAATGAATAAAATAAAAATCAGCGGGAAGGGCAAAGAGGAAAAACAGCAAGAGACTGTTTCAAGTGTCGAAAAGATAGCAACAAAAATCACAAGTTTCAAGGAATGTTGAGAAAGATTTTTTAGAGAATGAATTATAAATAATCAGAGGAAAGGGCAAAGAGGAAGAACAACAAGAGCCGGTTTAAAGTGTCGAAGAGACACCAACAAAAATCACAAGCTTCAAGGAATGTTGAGAAAGATTTTTTAAAGAATGAATAAAAATAATCAGCGAAAAGGGCAGAGAGGAAGAGCAACAACAGACGGTTTCAAGTGTCGAAGAGACACCAACAAAAATCACAAGCTTCAAGGAATGTTGAGAAAGAATTTTTAAAGAATGAATAAAATAAAAATCAGCGGGAAGGGCAAAGAAAAAAACAACAAGAGACGGTTTCAAGTGTCGAAAAGATAGCAACAAAAATCACAAGTTTCAAGGAATGTTGAGAAAGATTTTTTAAAGAATGAATTAAAAAAGATCAGAGGAAAGGGCAAAGAGGAAGAACAACAAGAGCCGGTTTAAAGTGTCGAAGAGACACCAACAAAAATCACAAGCTTCAAGGAATGTTGAGAAAGATTTTTTAAAGAATGAATAAAAATAATCAGCGAAAAGGGCAGAGAGGAAGAGCAACAACAGACGATTTCAAGTGTCGAAGAGACACTAACAAAAATGACAAGCTTCGATGAATGTTGACAAAGATTTTTTCAGAATGAATAAAAAAAATCAGCGGAAAGGGCAGAGAGTAAGAACAACAAGAGACGGATAAGTGTTGAAG